CACTTGACAGATTTTTTATTTTTTGTCTGAGCTTAACATATAAGAACGAATGACACTAATTAGTTGTGAGAGTAGTGAGTTCTGATGGGTGACTCTTTAGAACTCTATTCATAAAGGGGTTATTACATTTCAAGATAAGGAGCGATGTAAAATAATAATATCAATGTAAATATCCAATTTCGACTATATTACAATTGTATTATTGGCATAGTTCTAATTATACGAGTATTCGTATAATAATAAACTTCAGAAACTATAAATACGTGGCAGTGAAAAATATCTGCGACCTCCAGTAAACAGTATTATTACATAATAAATAATAAAGTTATGTACAGTAAGTACATAGTTTATTAAAATAAAGTTGTGTAGGTATAGCAGATGACTCCGGGGCAGAGGCTGACTGCTACCGGACGCGTCCCCGGGTGGCGGATAGGGGAACACCACTCGCACCTGTTTGGACCCGACAGGAGCTTGTGGTACCGGAGCAATCCGGCGCGGACCAACAGCCAGGAGGGGAGGTTGAGGGAGCGGCGTTAGAGGGCGCCGTCTCCTTCTTGGAGGTAGCGCGGTGTCTCGGCCCGTTTTGCGGTAGGAGGTGCTGCGCGGGCCACACTGCCGGGGCTAGCCCGTCGGTGCGGCGGCTGGAGCGGGGCCATTTCGGTGGTCCTGCGTATGGCGAGGGATGTCGGCAGCCATTTTGGTCCGGAGGTGAACCGACGGTAGGGGGGCCGCGGGGGAAGAGGAGTGTCGGTATGGCGATGCGCCGCTCGTCCCTATCTCCCGCGGCCTAGCGGGGCCACCACCGTTGATGGTGGACGCGGTGGGGCTGCAGGGGAAGGGGAGTGTCGGCGTTGTCGCATCCTCTTCTCCTGCAGCCGTTTGTGTTTGGGCTCGTTCGCGGGCGTCTTTGGGGGGTTTGCCCAATTTGGGTGGGGTTCATTATTTTTGCAGGTTGCCCACTTCGGTGGGCGGTGTTTGTGTGGTGTGGGGCTGCTCCGGGTACTTCTCTGATCAGCAGAGTGGACTTAGGAGCGGCCTCACTTGTTGGGTTGCAAGTCTTCCCATAATGGGGTTGTCCCGCTTGGGGCAGCCTCATGGTTGGTGGCTTCGACCAACCGTCGGGGCGTCGCGGTTGTATGCGAGAGCGATCCCGTGGCGTCCCACATGGCGGCAGAGGGGGAAAGTTGGGTTTTAGTGGGTATGCCGGTCTCATTAGCCGGAGAGTCTCCACATAACCACCCCGGGGGAAGTCGGGTGGTATCCGTAATAGGATTTCCCAACTATAAAAAAAAAAAAAAAAAAAGGTATAGCAGATGACATGTGTCGCAACAAATACTGCTGCCGTCTATAAATAGAACGAAGATTAGTAATACTTGTATGCTAGTGGAATATAGAAGTTTGTCCACATTTTAATAGCTCATTACTGGGTATAACACAATGTAATTACTTATTTAATTACATGATACGGTATATATATACAGTATTTGATTATGATTAAACGTTTGAGTTTTAGGGTGATTCAAAATTTTCAAGTTGTATCTGAAGATTAATTTTATGGGATCTCAGAGTACAGCATAAAAAGCACTTAAAATTGAGTGTTTATACTATACTGGCAAGCTAGTGAAAAACATACATGTTTTCAGAATAAAAAGTAACCTATGTGCTGTTCCAGATTATAATCTCTGTGCCAAACATCCAGATCCGTTCAGCGGTTCTCGCGTGATTAAGTAACAAATATCAATCCAAACTTTCGCATTTATAATTAAGGGGATATTGGGATACCTTAGAGTAATTATAAACTATATGTATACTCTAAGTTAGCCACTAACGCTCGAACCCTCTGGGACAACCCTAGGTGCTTTTGAAGACTTTTGGTAAACTGTATTACTGGAACAGTTAACAAAGAGGCTATTTTAATATTAAATGTACAAACACATTTACAATATTTCGGGTGTATAATGGTAGTTTGATTAAGAATCATGATTCATGATTCCATGGAATAAAACCAAAACCTGTTGTTTTTATACATCGCACGGCTTATCTCCATTGTGTAATGTGACATTCATTTTTGCCATTTGCATATTATTAAGAGTTAAATGATATACGGTAATAGTATCTAAGATTTTTATAGTGATCAGTCAAATTTTATATGAAGAGGAAAGAGAGACCTTAGATTATCGCGAGCACTTTTAGTATCTACTAGCGGCTCACCCTCGCTTCGATCAGGTTCGCCTCTAGAAAAATACTAATGTGTGTAAGTGATCTATTAGTTTCCACGGGAACCGTTCATGTTTTCGGGATGAAAAGTAACCTGTTGTTTGACCGGCAATATAAGGTATCAGAATGTTAAATTTTACTAAATTTGGTGCAGAAGTTCTTGTGTACTAAGCTGCATGAGATACTATAATTTATTAACTATCCCACGGGAACTCTTTAATTTTCGGGGATGAAAAGTATCTAAGATGTTGACCGGGGATATAAGGTACAACCATGCAAAATTTCATTTAAATCGGTTCAATAGTCTCGGAGATTAGCCCGTACAAACAGACTAACAGACAGAGAAATAACCTCTACAGTTTTATTATATGTATAGATAGAATAGAATAAATAACGTATAATAAAATAGTAATATATAATAATGAAAATAGTTATAGCGAGTGTACCTTAGGAGATAGATATATACTATTGAGAACTTTTCTATCGACCTTTTTAAGACTTACAATTTTCTTGTACAATGTTTTGATCTATCTCATAAGGTTGAGCCAGCGTTAGCCATATAAATTTCTAAGGACAATTCGATAGAACCAGTTATTGTGTTTTCCCGTGGGAATTAATAATTTGCCTGTCGTAAAAGGTATCCTAAATATTGACCCGAGTACTAAGTTATCACTATACAAAATTTAGTTAAAATCGGTTCAGTACTTTTTGCGTAAAACGCGCACATCGATTTGACTAAGTTAGTTTTATTATAGGTATAGATAAGAATAGATATTGCTTAGGAGATATACATATACTATTCAGAACTTTAATGTGGGACTTTTCAAGACCTACAATTTTTTAGTATATATTGTTTATGTATGTATGTCTTAAGGTTTAGCTAGCGGAAGGTTTCTAGGGAGGACTCGATAAATCCAGTTACTGTATCTTTCCGTGAGAGAAAGATTTTCTTGAAGTAAAAGGTATCCTAAACGTTGAATCGAGTAATAAGTTATCACTTCACCAAATTTCGTTGAAATCGGTTCATTACTTTTCGCGTGAAACGCGCATACAAAAAATGGACAAACAGATATACAGACAAACAGACAATTTTTTAATAACTATTGTTTTGGTGTCTATGTTGTGTACATAATATGTTACAAATAAACGAAAACATCTATCCTACGGGAACCGTACATTTTTCCGGGATAAAAAGTAACCTAATTGTTATTCTGATGTATGGCCTATTTCTATTTCCTTATTATTTATTCCTTATTGTAAAGTTTCATCAAAATCCAATCAGTAGTTTTTGTGTACTAAGCTGTATAAGTTATTATAGTTTTTTAACTATCCCACGGGAACTATTTCATTTTCCGGGATAAAAAGTATCTAAGATGTTGCCCGGGAATATAAGGTCCCACCATGCAAAATTTCATTTAAATCGGTCCAATAGATTCGGAGATTAGTCCGTACAAACAGACAAATAGACAGAGATACAAAAAATGTGAAAAAAATCTGGATTTGTTCTATTTGTCTTCTTACATCCCCCTGACTTGGTTTTTAGCATTTTTTTGCTATGTACAGACATTCGACCTCTACTGTTTTATTATAGTATAGATTAATTAATGAGCTTTTAGTGTTTTAATAAAAATATTTTGGAAACCGGTTTTTTAAAGTTATTTAAAAAAAAAAATTTAAGGAAAACATATATGAATGGGTAAATTCTACTTACATAATGTTTTTCCTCTTTTCAATAATGAGTATGGCCGAATTTCGACCACTCGGCGAACTAGTAATATAACAAATGCGAAAGTGTGTTTGACTTTAAAAAGGAGGATGTCCTGCATCGGATGTGTAATTTTGTGGCTGCTTAGGCGATTTCTTCGCCTATTAAGTAAGTATAAGATGATTTTCTAGAAGATCAAATGTGATCCCTTAAAATTATTTTAAGAAAAAGTTCACCTTTAGTCTTTAAGGTGAAATACATTAAGAGTGAAGTCGGTATACTTTTTAGTTGAAAAGTAATTTATCGGTGCAAATGCTAGTATTGTAATTTTTAGAGTTAGTAGGTATACATATTATGGGTTTGTACATTGTACATATATCGTTTTGTCACAGTACGTCAAATGTTCCTTGGGGACTATACAAAAGTAGGTAAGTGTATTTACCTACTATAGAAACTAAAGTCACTCATGTTTTATGAAAATTGAAATTATCCGGATACGGAAATGCAGAGGTATCTAGAACTATATAGAAACTATAGAAAAAGACTACGAAATACTAAAATAGATCGAAATGTTAAGAAATAATTAAAAAAATTAATATATATTTAATTCAGTGGATAAATTCTGTTTAACTACGTATATAGATAGCCATATGATATTCAAAGCAATATTTATGTAAATTGCAAAATAACACAATAAAAATCAATAATTTATTGATGTTTACACCCAAGTAATATTTAACATCAGTTAAATTTACTTAAGATAAACAAGTCAATAAATGTAAGTGGACAATAAATATAAAAATAATGATAAAGCAGAAGCTGGGCTCGCGCCAGCTCTTTGTGATCGAAAAAATAGATAGCTTTCTACAAATTTACGCAAATTCACTTTCCAAATTCATAATTAATTGTGTTACACATACCTATTTGATATTTTTGTTACTCATTACAATACCTGGAAATAGTACATAAGGAAAACAAAACAAAAGAACACCTCAAACGATATAAACAGAAGGATTTATTATTATATATTTTTTATTATATTATTAATCAACTATAAATAAAATATTATGTGACTTACATCAACCATGCGACTCTCTGCAATCATTTTCAAATTCCAATGCACAAAAAACAACGATGCACAATTTCAAACTTAGGTATACACTGTTTTGAAAAATCACTCTCACACTTTACTACTATTAAAAGCCCGCCATATCACCTTCATTTCTTTTAAAATTATCATTTTTCACTTAATAATTAATTAGTATATTTATTTAAAATTAATTATTTTGTATTTCCAACACAAAACACATGTAACATCTAATTCGGCCCAACTCCAACTTGGCATTAAAAGAGAATAGTTTGTTGCTTGAATTCTCCACGTGTGCGAGAGAAATAGACGATCGGGTGTTGTCGTGAATGATACAAATTATAGTGAGTGTAAAAGAGATAGTTATATTGTTGTTGGTTTTACGATAGTATCCGGTATTCCCGTTTGAGAATTTGTTTTGTGCTGCGATAACGCTGGTCAGTATCTGACCTCTATTTTATCTTTAAATATAAATATATTATTTAAATTGCTATAAATATCATCTTCCTTTAGAGGAAAAGAGGTTAAAGCTTTATAATAAAGTTATTCGAAGCAAGCGGGACCTTAATTGTTATAAAATAAACAAATATCTCAATATTCAAAGAAGACAGGGACCGTAAATGCACTCGGAAAGTTTAAAAGCTCTAATTACGACATAACGTACTGTATATATATTTTTTTAACCATAATTGTATCTCAATTCCTATGTAAACATAACCTTCATAATCCTTTACTATCTGGCTTCCGTCCAGGTCATAGTACGACTACTGCATTACCTAAGATTGCTGACAATATTCGCGTGGGCATGGATATGCAGCAAGTCACCGTATTAGCATTGTTAGACTTTAGCAATGCGTTTGGTACTGTAGATTTTGATATTTTGCTTGCGTCTTTAGGTTCTTTTAACATATCTCCTAATGTAATTGACTGGTTTCGTGATTACCTGTGTGAACGTCGTCAGCGTACCCATACGTGTCCAAGATACGTACTCGGACTGGCTCCCAGTCAAGGCTCGCGTTCCTCAGGGTGGCGTGTTGTCTCCTCTCTTATTTTCAATTTTCCTTAGTAATTTTTTTTCAACATATCTCATCTCTCTACCACCTCTATGCAGGTGATTTACAAATTTATAGCCAAGCAAAAATTGTTGATCTACCTACAGCTATTGAGGTTATTAATAACAACCTATTTAATATAACCACTTGAAGTGAGTCGTTTGGGCTGCAGTAAATCCTACAAAAACCCAAGTAATAATTATTGGCAGTCCTAAACTTATATCCAAAATCGACTTTAACTCTCTGCCTAATGTAGTTTTAAACGGTGAAAGCATACCTTTCAGCAAGTCAGTTAAATAATCTTGGCATTATCATGGACCAAATTATGTTGTGGGTTTCACAGGTAAGTGAAGTGAGTAGGAAGATGTTTGCATCAGTTGCATCTCTTAAGCGTATACGTAACACTCTCTCTCTCTATTTCCACCAAAATTTCCTTAGCACAATCTCTCCTTTTACCAATTCTTGATTATGCTGATATTTGTTACCTCTACATTACTCAGGAGCAATTAAATAAACTTGAGCGTCTCCAAAATCTTTGTATTCGGTTCATATTTGGTTTGCGTAAATATGACCATGTCTCTGAATTTCGAAAAAAGCTCAAGTGGCTCTCTATCCGCCTTCGCAGAAATACTCATATTCTCCATATTCTTTACTGTATTCTGTTTGATCCACGTACGCCTCCTTACCTCAAGGAGCGATTCTCATTCCTTGGATGCACCCTTTCACGTCTTCTTCGCTCCGGCCATAACCTAACCCTAACAATCCCTTCTCACTCTTCTTCCTTTTACAGTAACTCCTTCACCATCACGGCTCCTCGTCTCTGGAACTCTCTTCCTCAAAGTGTCAGGCATGCGAAATCGCTAAAAAAAATAAAAAACGTTTAAAGGATCACTTTCATACACATAGAAGATTCTTTATTGAATGTATTGTTATTAGTATGTTTATTGTTATCTTTGTAACTGAACTTTAGTATAATTCTTGCTAAACTTGTCTTTTTATATTTTACTAGCATTGCCCGCGGCTCCGCCCGCGTTCAGATGACCAAAAACTAAATTCTTAGGTGTTACATATTAGTATACTCTTACATTGCAGTTTTTGTATTTTTCCTCAGAAATAAGATATTTTCCCGCGGTAAAAAGTATCCTAGGATCGCGCGCTACATCGCCCGGTTTATATAGCTTGAGCAGGCGGTCGAGCGATGCGGGGCAGAGGGGATGGACTCGCCGTAGGCATCTCAATGCTCGCCAAGCATTAAAAATGTTTCGCTACTAATTACTTCTAACAACGATATCTCAAAAACTATTCATCTGATTGATTTAGTGTAAAGAGCAATTTTAATCTGCATTAAATGACTAAGCTAACTAAAATATTCATTTGGATAAGGATTAATACCGAACTAAAGAAAATAACTTTGAAAATAACGTAATGTTTTTAATTAAAAATGTTAACATAAAAGTGGTTATTGTAAGTCAACCGTAAGAGATAGAGATATGCTATCGCGGACTTTTTTGTAGCATTTTTATAGATTTTGAATTCTCTAGTACATTACTTAACTGTATCTTTGCTAGTTTACGCGGCGTTCGCGTGGAAAGTTCCCATTTGGCGAGATTTTTTGCGACCTCTTCAACATTTGTCGCCGTATTTCAGCTAATTTACATAAAAGCATAATAAATTATATACCTAAACCTTCCTCAAGAATTACTCTTTCTATTGTTGAAAACCGTATAAAAATCCGTTCAGTAGTTTTCGAGTTTATCGCGTACAGACAGACAGGAGGACAGACAGGAGGACAGAAAGACGCGGCCGGGGGACTTATTTTTATAATAAGTATAGATAGATATTTATATATGTATAATATACTCGTAGGTATATTATTTATGTATGTAGTTATAGTATTTAGGTATTGGTTAATTATATTTTACTTGTATTTATTTATTATATATTTGTATGATACGTATATGTATAAATATATACTCTTTCTACTGTCTCTTTATTTGGTATTCGCGCTCCTTCTATCTTATTACTGTTTCCTACACCTAAAGGTTTCCTAGAAGAAATCGCTCTTTAGCGATAAGGCCGCATCTTGTACCTTCTTCTATATTTTGTGTATTTTCTTTTCTCTTTTTGGGTATGCAATAAAGAGTAATTCATTTATTAATTGTATTGATGCATGATAATAAATACACCATACAAACAATTCTGTAGCGGGAATATTGCTGCAATATTTATTCTATTAAATTATTTTATTCCTGTTCTTATATTTTTATGTAGTAGCATATTTATATATACTAAAAGGATACGATTGGCAGACATTGTTTAACCCTATCAAAGCTTTTTTCCTTCAATGGCTTAGAGTTGCGTTATCAGACGCAAATCGCATTCACACACACATTCTGCCAGTCTCACGTATTGTGAGAAATATTCATACACCTAGCAACAAGAATGAAACATACATAATATTATATTATGTCTCCGACTGCATAAGATAATATTTAAAACAACTTACTAAGCAACACCAATAATAGCAAACTAAATTAAAATTATTATCCTTAATTAATTTTAACTTTTTTAAATTACACATAGAACAATTATATGGCTTAAATAATTAATACTATATTTTAGATTTTTCTTTATAGTCATAAATATAATAATGGCAACACTAAATATAGATTACTAATTAATATTTTTAAAATTGTAATAATTATAAAAATAATAGCAAAAATTAAATAAATAATATTCTATATTCTATTATAATTAAAGTTATAAAAATGTTTTAAAGTTAAAAAATATTGTAATGTAATTGGTGCAATTTTCATTTTGTGAATTGTGGGTAGGCTGTCTGTAACAACTATACCTTCAAGACATGTAAGACCTCAGTCTCTCCCGTGACCATGGATGCTGTAAAGCATTCGAGAACCAAAAATCAAAATAAATTCGCGAAAAAATCCGAAAAGATAGTTTTATTTTATTTAAAATGTCAAGTATTCGCGTAAATCTAAGAAAGTAATAATAATATCTATTTAAAAATTCATAATTCATCCATATTAAATAGCATGGATAGTATTTTCAATTTCAAATGATTTTTTTCTCAAGTATTAACAAGCAACAATCATAGAGTTATTACTTACTATCTTCTCCGCAAGGAAAAAATAAAAAGAAGTTTTCTCTTTTTTGCGAAGCCGGTGTATACCTACTATGAAAACCTACTATGAAAACCTTGCCTTATGTAGGAATTTAGCACATTGCTTAGAACAGCGGGTTTAAATTTTGTTTAGAACCGATCGAAATAAAAGTTTTTAATAAAGGTGAGGTGAACACAGGACTCATTACAATTTAGTAATTAGTTAATGTCGATTAATGTCTTTCGAGGTGGCAATAATTCTAAAAATATTGATTTCTCATTCCAATGATAATTTCCTAAAAAAATATATTACAATTATAAGATTATAAGCTTCGCCCTTACAATTTTCCTGTGGTTAATATATTTTATTACTAAAATCTCAATGAAGCCTTAATTGAAATTTAAATACAACTGAAATTGTATATAAAAGGTGCACGTTATCATCGTTGTAAAATAAATACTTTGATTTGTAACTTATAAACAACAACGGAGAAAATAATTTCTAAAAAAAATACATAACTAAAAAATAATATTATCTCTATCGCAAATACACCGTCACGAAGATATTGCTCTTAAATAATGCACAGGCGCTTCAAATTAAAACGATCATAATATTACTTCCTCATATTTTTATAACAAGAAACGTTTATCCTTCCTTCGATCATCATCATCCTCCTCATCATCCTTCGAAACTTGAGCGCGAGTGTAAGTTAATTTCAGTAATACTGGCTGCCGTGTCCAAAATCTGTCAGGAAGTCATAGTAGTATACTCTTATAAATATAATCTTTAAATACACATAAAATAGCGTCTCTAACCGTCGAATTTCGTTACTTCATTGGCCAAA